ATGAAAATAAATATATATTTAAATATTTTAAAAATCGTTCTTTAGGCCATAGTTGTAAGCAGAACACCCCCCACCCCCCAAGAAATCTTTGTACAATAAGCAACAGTTTATAAAGTATGGTAGGAGCTTAGTGTTTCAGTGTATATGTGGTACAGAAATGTTCTCTTAATTCTCTGGCATCTCTGCAATAGAAATCAGGCTCCAGCACTGTGAGAAAGTTGAATCTGAGGAGACTTAGGGTGCGGTCTGATTTTTGTGTTGTCCAGTAAATGTGTGAGGAAAAGATGCCTGATGCCTCCCTTGTAGTATGGATCAGTTGGCTAAAATGTGTGTAAAAGCAATACTTCAAAACTAAATGAATGATTTCAATCCCCTGAAGTTTTAATTAATTCTCCTTTCTATTTGGACTTCTTTCTCTACATGAAAGCCTTTCTGTGATTCTCATTGGTAAACGCCGTAAATGTAACTGTGTGAAACGAGGACACCACCATGCTAAAGCGTATGCTTTTGTCATGATTTGCTGACTGGAATGGCAGATGCCTAAATTGCTCATTAAAAAAAATTTTCAGGAGTGAAAGCTCTCAATTATGAAGCCTTCTATTAGTTATTTATAATTAAGATTACAACCTTGAACTAATTATATTTCTGTTCTTACTTGATCCGTGGATGTTGTTTTTATTCTGCCAGCACCTTATGCCTGCTCTAAGGGTACAAGTCTTTCATAACTGCTCCAGTAATATATACTTGCTTAATAATGAAGATTATTTGTAATTTCATTAGATCGATTCCTTGCTTTTCTAGAGTATTGGGCTTTAATGAGTGACCCACTTAACAGCTGTGTTGAAACACTGCCATTTTGACAGAAGTGCAGATCTTGCATTTGGAAGAATTTTGAAAACTGTTTGCCTTATGACTAGTAGCAAAATTCAGCTTTGCTTTTGATCACTGGGTTAGATGTTAGGCTTGGTCAATAACTTACTTGCATTTTTCTTAGGAAATCTATTCAAGGACCTTCAAGGATGCTTTGCAGGAAATGATCTTCCCAATAATAAATGCTTAGAAAAATAGCTGCTGAGATTTTTGGTTGATTTAGAACTGCAATATTTGTTTCTGCATGTGGCATACCTTAACTGCTTGCTCCTCAATAACTTTTAATGAATATGCTGACCTTCTTTCCTACTGCCAGCACCAGTAGGTGCTGGCCACGGGACAGGGTTACTGGTGGGCTGAGGTCCCCAGGTGGCCACATCACCCATCCTCTGCTGTGGGCGTGCTGTGGTACGGTGCCTGTAGCATAGCTCTTCAGTGCCCTGCTAAAAGCCATTTATGCCTGTGTCGCTGCGTGGTGCTGGGGCTGCTCTCCCGCTCAGGGAGCTCCTGCCGGCGGCAATTAGCCTGTGAACGGGAGTGGGGCAGGCTGCCAGCTCCGCCTGGCCCGCAGGCCCTGGCACAGCCGCAGCCAGCAAAGCTGCTCTTGCAAGTGCAAGCTGGCTGTGCCGAGAGCCCCGCACCATTCCCCTGCGCCTCATGGGACACCTGGAGCACAGGTCTGGGAAACCTTCCCTTCATCTCCCTCCAGAGCTGTTCTCCCCAAAGAGAACGATGGAGAGGTTATCTGATGGACCACTGCTTGGTGTGTAGCTCTTCTGCTGCAGGAGAACCAAGTTGCTTGCACTTCTCTTTTCTCAGTTTTACTTGTGTTTGGCTGTCTCTGTGTTATGCCACTTGGTCCTATAGTCTTGTTGCCCGATTTGTTTCTTGAATACTTATCCTCTGCTCTTTTCTTTGCCACTGATCCATATTTGTGTTTGATAAGTTTCCAGTTATTTCTGCTGTGCGCTCAGCTTTAAGTCGGCATATTTTGGCACTGTCATTGTACTATCTTAGTATTTAGGCTGTATGCTTTGCTCTTTTTCCTTCTGGGCACATTGGTACCATATTCTCAGTATTCTGGTACTTTTGTCGGTTGGCACTTTTGTTCTTATTATGGGTTACAAACCTGTGCTCTTCTTCTGCTTGGGGTCTGGAGGTTTTCTATAGTTTCTGGATTTTCCTTAAAGATATGTTGTGCTTTTTGACTCTTCCAGAGGAAAGAAAAAAGTTTACAATTATTTACCAACTTCAAGAAGTACCTTTCTGCTCATAGACTTTGTTGATAGGCAAACACCTGCCTGAAACTTTCTGTGCAGAGTTACCAGTTCTAGTCTCCCAGTATCATTTCGATATTTCCAAGAACAGCCATCTTACAGAGTGAGGATGGAATTGGGGAAGGAGCTGTTACTCTGATTGCTTATTTATATGGCTAACATGCTTACATGGTATAAATGTTTTCAAAAAGCACTGAGGCAACACAAGAACAAAAATTTACTGAAATACATTTTCAACTCATTAAAATCAGGTTTTGTGCATTGATCTGTATTATTTCCAATGTAGAAAAAGGGTTTGGAGGGGATAGAAAGTTACAGGAATCACCTTCTGGACTGCCCAGGGTTGTTTCCCTTAGAAAGAATAGTCTTGTACATGCCATGTCTGAGTCTCAGTCCCTTGGACATGAGAAAATCATTCTTAGGTTTGCTGTAACAAATGCCATTTTGTGTGTGCGGTTACTCTTCTTGAGTGAGCCTGCGATAACTCAACAGCGGCCCAAAGTTTCTCTGACCCCCTAATAATTACCATTGTTTCAAAGAGCAAACCCTTCCCATGAAGGTACCGTGAAGGCAGCTGTGCTTCCTTCTCACGTCCTCACCGTAAAGAGGGGAAAGTGTTGGTGCAGAAGTGACGCAGTCTGTCTGCTGCAAGGGCAGTGCTAATGCTCTGGAGTAGCCTAATGGGCATATTAGGCAATAAGGCGTTGCTTTTCCATCTTGTTCTGGAAGATCTACTAATGCCAACGAGCTCAGGAATTCAGATATTTCGTGGAGGGAAAGAAAGGGTTGATTTAACAAAATATATTGTCTAAATTTACTAATGACTGCCTTTCCCATGATTCTTCTTTCTTCTTTTGAGGTATTATGCTCTCATAGAGGCATATTTTGAGCGCTTTTGTTTGGGTTTTGAAGAGATCTGGTTATTTTTGTGAATACAACAAAGGATAATTAACTGAAAATTGCAGATGCAATAACTTGCAGATTTCCTATTTTTAGCATGTCCTCAAATTTTCCATTTAAAAAACCCCTACCAAACCCCCATGTTAGGTTTCTAATTTAAGTGAGGTCTCTTGCTCTGCTGCTATTCTCCTGCTGTGCTAAATAGTAATTGCTTGTTGAGAAGAGGCCTTTCTTTCTGTAGTGCTAATTCAGCACAGTGGGGGAAAGGTAGCCAAGGAGCTTATATATGTGTAAAAACTAAAAGACTGGAGATATAATGTGGTTAGGAAGAAAAGGATAGGAGAAGATGGAAAGTATCACAAAAGGAAAAGATGGCAGAAAAAGGAATGAGATGGAAACAATGAGGAATGATCTGGAGATTGTGCATTTCTTTTGGGAATGAGATTTGTGGTTCATGAAAGAAGCCTGTGATAACTTACAGAGGGTGAGATCTGAGGCACTGAAAAAGCAGCCTAGATCAGATATGAACATTTCATGACTATTCTTTAGACAACTTTACTATCTTAAGAGTCCTTCAGTAAAGAAAATTTCTTTATGCTTGCAGATTCCATTTTCTGTGTGATACATTGTAGATTTTAATGTCCAAAATATGTCAGAAAATAAACTGCTATCTCAAGTTTAGTCACATGTACTGGAGAGAAAATTGGATTTTATACTCAAATTTATAGTGAAGAAGCTAAAGCAATATTAAGAACTGAAGAGTTTGTTCAAAATGCATTCAGCTCTGGGGTTCCCAGTACAAGAAAGACTTGGACTTGTTGGACAGCGTCCAGAGGAGGCCACAAAGATGATCAGAGGGATGGAGCACCTCTCCTATGAGGACAGGCTGAGAGAGTTGGGGTTGTTCAGCCTGGAGAAGAGCAGGCTCCAGGGAGACCTAATTGCGGCCTTCCAGTACCTGAAGGGGCTACAGAAAAGATGGAGAGGGACCGTTTACAAGGGCAGGTAGTTGTAGCACAAGGGGTAATGGCTTTAAGCTAAAAGAGGGTAGATGTTAGAAAGAAATTCTTCACTGTAAGGGTGGTGAGGCACTGGAACGGGTTGCCCAGAGAAGTTGTAGATGCCCCATCCCTGGAAGTGTTCAAGGCCAGGCTGGATGGGGCTTTGGGCAACCTGGTCTAGCAGAGGGTGTCCCTGCCCACGGCAGGGGGATTGTAACTAGGTGAGCTTTGATGTCCCTTCCAACCCAAACCATTCTATGATTCTATGAAAATTTTGACTATTATCATGAAAAGGATGTTTGGGATGTTGTACTTACAATGGGGTGGGGATCTTTGATCATATTCTTTAAAGTTTCATGATAATAAACACACGTTTAGCAAGTGTTACTTTCAAATGATCATGCAAATAAATTTTTATACATTATAAAAAAATACACATAGTAATACAGATATTTGACATTTATATTCAGAATGATCCCATAAATACCCATATTACTCTTAAATATCTATTCTGATTTTCTTCCACTTATTGTAATGTATAACATACTCTGTATTGACAGTAATATTAATTCATTTTATTTGAGTTGATTGGGCTCCTGCTCATCGATTTATAAAATTGGTTACTTAATTTTCTTTAAGTCACTGAGAAGTTATGTAAATTCCCAAAGCACTCTGAAGTGGAATTCAATATACAAATAATAATTAGAATCATTAAAAAAGCTAGTTGGAATAAGCAAATGTAATTAGAAGAAATGTTTCAGCAATGGAGAAACTAGTTATCCTTACTTATGTAGTTATTAAATTAATTGAAATCTTTGTTAAAAGTTTTTTCAAAAAAAAAATAAAATTATGGAAATTGCCTGCTTGTGTGGTGAGGAAATGCAAGTCTCACTAATCTGTTTCTCACATATGCAAATTTTGTAAATTTGATAAAATGAAAGACTTGGTACTTATCTATATATTTTACATATTTTAAACATTTGGGGAGCCTTTTAAAATTTTGATCATAAGAAAATATTAAAATAAATTAGTAGTGGAATATGGTTTTGAACAAAGCCAGATAATAGAGCAAAGTGCATATCACTTATTATAGCAAAGAAGTAAACTTCTGGTGCAAGACGTTTCTGACGTTCTGTTACAGAAGTGGCATAAATCCTTTCATTTATCGCAATATATTTTTGAAAAATAATCAGCAATAATGGATTTCATAGCCATTCTGTAGAAGAAGATATAGAGAAAACAGTGCTTTGATTAGGAGTTCAACATATAGATTACTTGAAATTCACATTTCAGGACTGATTTTATTTTACTATTGACAATTTGATTTGACTAGCTGCAGGTAACTACAGCTAGGCAACACACTAAGCAAAAGGGCCCTGAAATACCTGCAGGTATTTCTGGAAATACTGGAAAGCAGCAAATTTATGAATGCTCTTATTGTGGTTTCAGTGGTTTAAAAAATAAAGAGTTTGACAGCTATAGAAGATGCTAAGTTGTGATTCATACGTGTTGATTTGTAATAGCAGCTAGAAAATGTACGTTGTCACCATGAATTTTAATCGACCAGGAGAACAGAAGTTATTAGCCTAGCCTAAAGAATAGTTTAAATTTCAAGGTCTTCACTTTTTCTGGGCTTCATTGTTCATGTAAAATCCTTTTTCTGTATTATATCTTGCAGATGTGATTCTAACTTCTTTAGGTTTATGTACAATAAACCTATTTATTTTCTTGATTCCAGGAAAGTAGGTCACACGCAGCTGTTGCATATGGAAGATATCCCAAGGTTACTGGTGATTAGGGACTGCAGAATTCTTCGTATTATCATAAGAGAGTTTAATTTACCTGAAGAACATTTTGTTGTTAATTAAAATTTTTTATGGCTGTTTAGTTTCTGGTATTTTCTGCTAATCTAATGTTTTTACCTGGCATCTTCCCAAATTGCTTTTATTTTTAACAGACTTTTTCTTAATGTTTTAACAGGTCTAGTCTCTGTTCATCTTTATCCATAAAGACTTAGTTAGGGTGAATTTAAATCAAAATCTTACAACTACATTGTAATGAGTTCTTGTTTCCTTATGATGAGTATCTTTTTTCCCTTTACAGAATGCTGGTAAAATACTATCAGACATCTTGTATTTCCTCACAAGACAATTTTCTATAGGGAAAATAATAAATTGCCTGTATTTCTTTTATAACTTATCCCCGTATTTCAAATCTAAAGGTTTTGTAATTCTGAGTCCTAGGAATTCACAGAGTTCATTTTTCACATTTGTGTAATTCTTGGAATTAGGTCTCTCATAACATTCAGGCAAGTTGGTTTTTCTGCAGACTGCATAAAAAGCAGTTTTACAGTATCTTCAGAAAATGTTTAACTTCCTTGATTTGTACATGGTGCTCTTGCTTTCAATAGCTAAGTAATTAAAATCCCACCATGACGAGAAATCTGGCTTTTATCCAGAGATTTTCCATCTCTGAAAACGTTTTCTGATCTAGTTTTTATCATTGCCCTGGAGGTCTGTAGCAATACATAAAGAATATCCCCTGACTTACTACTTTTATTCCTCTTTACAACTAGCCAAATGGTCTGATCCGTGTAAGCACAAATATTGTATTGTGGTTTTTAGCAATATAAAACTTTTCTAATATTGCCTTTCCCCTTTACATTCTGTGTTATTCCTTTGGTAAATTTTGCATTCAGATCTTTCAAATCACCAGTAGCCTTTACATAGCAGTCACATCCCTGTTAAACCAATAATGACCTAGATGCAGGGTTGGGTTCATGTTAGCTGGCTGAAGAACAGTTCAGGGGATATTTATCCACAGATAAATAATCCTGATTTTTTTTTTTTTTTTTTTTTTTTGGTCAGCATTTGATTCTGATTTTAATCAATACACCTCTAAATTTGATTTTTAAATTTATTATTTGCATTATTTGTTTTCAACAGTTTTATTGATATGGACGACACTCAGAAATGCCAAGATAATAGATCTTCAATTCAGATGTGTAACTACTGCTGCTTTGAGTATTTTCAGATATTTAACTTATACATAAGATTTAAACTTCCAGAATCAACTAAACACATTTCACAGTGCAGTCAAAGATAGCACAAGGGCAACATGTTTTAGTGTATTTTAAACCTGCATATGTTCTTGAAGTGCTTTGTCACTTGAAACATTAGCCATCTGCCAGTAAGCTTCTCTTTGTAGGGAAGATTATTGCAAAGGTTGTAGTGAAGCGGCATTAGTGTCATTGTGTGACCTCAGATCTCTTTGATCCTTTTTAATCCGGTTTCAGAATTAGTGTAGAGATTTCACTGGACTCATTGGCTGATCTTCTCCTGGTAAAAGTTAAAAGTCCTTGCAGATTCTTTTAAATCTGTTCAGGATTTTATGATAACAATACAGGCTTTTTTAATTTGTCAGCGATTAGATTCTTGATTGTAGGGTTTCCGTTCTTTTCAGTTTCTAATGGTGATGCAGTTATCCTCTACAGGAGGGACCTCTAATATAAGATTCCACAGTATCTGTTTTTAAGCTCTTCCTCTTCAACATAGGTGTGCAGGGGGTCCTGATAGAGCCCGGTAAGCAATCTCAGCCATAGGATAGCAAATGGAGAGGGTAGAAGGTGGTGCAGGTGGTCCTGATAGAGCCCGGTAAGCAATCTCAGCCATAGGACAGCAAATGCAGAGGGCAGAAGGCTCTTGCCTGTTCTTTGCCTGCACCCTCCCAGACCTGCTTTTCTTTCCCAGTCTGTTGCTGAATTACTTGTGACTAAACTGCTAAAAGTTTAATCCATAGGTTGTTTCTTTTTTTAAATTGTTTAATTGGGTTACTTTTTCTTCGTTTTTAATTCCATAGCTCTGGCGTAAGATTTATGAGTACTTGTGACTAAACTGCTAAAAGTTTAATCCATAGGTTGTTTCTTTTTTTAAATTGTTTAATTGGGTTATTTTTTCTTCGTTTTTAATTCCAATTTAATTCATACATTTATGAGTGTATGAGGGAGACGTGGCTTTTTAGTTATTTTTCCAGGACCTAATATTTTGAGGATGCTCCTAAAATCCTGCTGGCAACAGTGCCCAAGAATACCCTAGTTTTGTGTGGAACTCACAGGACAGTTGTGGCCTTTCCATCTTTTCCTTAGTTACAATGATCTAAGTTTTGTTAATTCTCTGAGTAGATCCCTGTAGTACACTCTGTGGGTTACCTTTGTTTAACATCCATTTCCCTCTCTTTCTGATGCAGTTCACTGAGCTTTTGTGAATCTATAAAACATGGAGTGTGTCTCCTTGAGGAAGTCCTCAGGATATTTAAAATTAATTGCTAGTCTCCCTTTTTTTGGTGTGTACCGGAAACTTTAACATCTTTAGCCCGATTCTCAGCCCTCACTTGCTCTTCAAGTCTTGGACCTCAGTCAGGTTGACAGACTATGCTCAGTTCACTGGATCTTTCTGGCCCAGGTTTTCAACAAATCTAATCAATCAAGAACAAATTATAGAATTTAAACCTTTTAGTAAATATTTGGGTATTTTTGTTATGCTTTAAAATGTAAATCTATTTATGTGCTTGTTTTCAGAAATGCCAACTCCTGACTTGCTGTCTATGATTACAGTGCTAGAACTACAGTTAAACAAAACTACAGTTTAACTCACCTGAATATGAATAATGAATAATTAGAAAAGAAAGAAAATAAAAATGCTCTGAAAGTAACACATCTGTCAGAATTAACTGAAAACTGTTGCCTGGTGAATTGTACCTTGCTTGAAATGTGGAATGACATTGTTTAGAACAAAAATACTTACTGAGTCAGTAAAAGATAACAAGATGCTGTGAAGTATGTATTGAATGTGGTATTTGGTCTCACTTTTGGTATTCATCGTAAGCTTTACACAATATAGGGGTTCAGTTCTAATAAATCAACTGCTTTTAATGCAGCAGCAAGACTTTATAGATACAAAAACTATAGAAGTAAGGCAAAAAATCTGCTTCATTCCATCAGGGATAAGATTGCAATATCGAGTGTTAATCCAAAATGTCATCTGCCATTGTTTTCATGCTCTGAGTCGTTGCCAGGCTGCTATAAAAGAGAGACATCTTTGACATCTTGATCCTTTCATCATCAGGCACATTTTCTAGTTTTGTGTGTGTGTTTGTGGGCGTTTTTAAAATTTATTTTTCTCTTTTTCTGATTAAATATTTTTCAAAACCTAGAATAGTTTTTCATGCATTTACATATTTTCTTTGGTGTCTGAAATGTTGCTACGATCTCCTGGGTAGCAGTGGCAACGTGGTCTGTTCTGTCTTTTAGACTGGCACAACTGCAATGGTTTGTACTTTCTGTTAGATTGTAAAGCTGGCTTGCTGGGTCTTGAGTGGAGGCAGGCCTGATTTGCTCCTAATTTCTCATTCTCAGTACTGTAATGTTAAGAGCTGTTCTACAATGTAAGATATTCCAGGGAACTTTAAGCCTGAAAAGTGATAGTCTGTACAAATGGACCAAATACTCATCAAAAAATATTAGAATTGAATGGAAAGTACAGTTTGTTCTTTTTGTTTGGAAAGGTGCCAGAATTTGAATATACTGTCCTGAGTTGCTTTTGGGTACAATAACCATGCATCAGGTTACTACATATATGATGTATGTATAAATGCAAACTATAGTTAGTATACTGCAATTTGTTCAAATCTTATTCCTTTCTACATCTGATTAAAAAAACTCCCTTGCAAGAATATCCTTTTCTAATTTTATGTTAAATTATTTTAAATTATTGAAGCTCAAGTAACCTCATGTGCTGCTTTAGAGGTTGTTATTCTTAACATACACATTAATGGTAATGAAAAAAAGGTCAGTTTTGGCTCTTTTTTTTTTCCAGGCTAGTCTGTTCCTGATCTGTAGAAAATCTCTTCTGCTTTTCTAGCCAGACACACTTCGAAAAGTGGATAGGCACTGTCAGTTTCAGCAAATATTTTTGCAATTCACTGCCTTACTCATATGATACTGTGATTCTATCTGAAACATCTTTTATCATGCTATGTTAATGGGTAAAATTAGAGATTAATATACATAGGAAGTCTGTATTTTTGTAATTTTCATAGAATTAAAAAATAGGAATATAGCCATTAATATATCTTACTTTTAACTTGCTTTAGTTATTAAAATCTTATGCATAGCAGAATGCTTACTTATCAAAACCATTTATTTCTTTTAGGGTTTTTAGGAACTTCTTGTGAAGACAAAATAGACCCTTGTGCATCATCTCCCTGCCAGAACAATGGAACCTGTTATGCAGACAGACTTGCTTTCTCCTGCAGTTGTAGTCCTGGATTTACAGGACCTACGTGTGCTCAGCTGATTGACTTCTGCGCTCTGAATCCTTGTGCACATGGCATTTGTCGTAGTGTTGGAACCAGCTACAAATGCCTCTGTATCCCTGGTTTGTACCAAACAGATACATGTTTTGTAAAGCTTCTAATATTTTTATATGCAGATTCCATACATAGTTTAAAATTACTTCCTTTTTTTCTCTTCGTTGTATAAACCACATTGAGCAGATGTTCTATCTGTTTAGAATAACAATAGGAAACTACATATTCCATTTGGAAAATCAAAAATTGCAGAGTGAGCGCTGAAAATACCCACTGAGATCCATATGGCTTGGCTGATATCTACAGCTGTATTATATAACTATAGTCTGCAGGATAAATCTTTTTAAGGTGAGGTATCATTATAATTGGAATTACAAAAATTGGTAGAGAGAATGGAGAATGGGACACTGATCACTGGGAAAGGAGTGGAAACAAACAAGGTAGCTGAAGAAAGGTAGAGAAGGAAAGAAAATTGGTTACCCCAAAGGGTTTAGTTCTGCCATTGATGTTTACATAAATTATCTCTCTTCAGGAGTTCTAGGGATACTGGTTAGGTGAGTAGAGCTAGTAGTAACTGTCTGACAATATAGCCTAACAGTGCACAGTGTCTGGGTTGCATTTTGCTTAGATCTAGACTTGTTTCTTCATTGTACCAATGTAACAGAACATCGGGGTGCTTATAGCTCCCTTTATACATTTTAGCAATGATAATGAAGTACAGAAAGAATGATATGTGCTGCACATCCACTACTGCTTAAGCACTTAGAGTGAAAACCAATAATCTTTGTTTTCATTTGAATAATTTTTTTTTTAAAAAAAAATGCTGTTCCTATAAAGCTATAAACTCTAAAACTGCAGAAGTTAAGGGGGAAACAAATTCCCAGTGTACAAGGGATAAAGTAAGGAGTGATACTGGATAGTTAATAGCTCTACATATACATAACGGTATGAGATGCATGCTGTTCTATGACGTTCCTTTCAGAGGAATAACTTCTCTCTCCTGTTTTGCCTTGCCTTGTGGGAAACCAGTCACAATTCTCCAGCTCTTTCCCCTTCCTTCTCAGTTAACAGGATGTGCAGGTACCCTGCCAATCACAAAGGTTTTGCCTGAAGTAGACAAGTCGTCCTATAGGTGGCAAATCTGAACATTGATACATGACACATCTGGATGTTTTCTTTTTAGCCTATGCATGGAAAGAAATTGGCTTCTTTCTCTTCAAAAAAGAAGTTTCTCCTTTTCTTGCCAAGAAAGAAGTCCACAAACTTTTCCTAGAAAACTTCAGATTAGGATAGTGAGGCTTAGGACAATAAGAAAGTAAAAATAACTGTTTAATTTGACTTTCATCTATTATTGGCATTTTGAAGAAGAAAGATGTCACTCCTTTTTGCTTCTATGTCTTATGGCTTTAGAGCAAAGTGAAACATATTTTCCTTGAAAGGAGTGAATTTTTAAGATTTTGTAGCCCATAAAATTGGTATCTTGTCTGAAGAGAGATCTCTGAAGACCCAAGAATTACCATCTAATGTCTTTGTCTTGGATGGTACATTGAGTGCACGCTTTAAAGTGTTGCTTTCACTAACCAATGCATGAGATCATCAAGGAAGTTCCAGATGTTGAGACTAAAGTTTGAAACTGCTTAAGGATGAAAGCATTCATCAGTTTGTAGGAATAATGGATTGATGTTTGAAAATAAGACATCACTCATCAATAAGTGTGGGAAGAACAGGTTTCAGCGTTATGAATACTTCATCATAAGGCTTTGTGTGGTGTAGCAAGATTCTCACTGATGTATGCTTTCCTGAGAGGGAGGCCACGACGTGGTTGTGTCATTTCACGGTTTCGTTGCTGAAATTTTCTTCTTGCAGTGTGTTTTGACTTTGGGAATGAAGATACTTTTAGTAATAGATTAGATGACTGCTTATATAGTAAGTAGTGCAGTTACGAAGTTTATGCACATGTAATACAATTATCCTGATCCAGAGAATGATGTAACAGTGAAGTCTGTTTTGACAAAATTTTATAAAGGCTGTTGAAAAAAGGTAATTTTTGGAACTCAGCTCAATGAGCAGTCCTAACTCTTCTAGAACGTCTAGTTTTTTTACATTGATTCTGATAGGTCTGAATTTAACTGGTGTAGAAAACACTAACTGTCTGTGCATTTTGTGTTGAGTTGTTTCTCTGCCAGAATGGATTAGTTTTATTTGTGGATATGGGGAGTTTGTAATGAAACCTACTAATGCAGCATTTTTAGAAGATATCAGAATTAATCGTTATTATTTAGAGACCCAGAAAAGACTATCAGAAGTTGTTTTTGGAGAGGTACTCACAAATGAATAGAAGCTAGTAGAAATTTGTAGTTTGGATTTGACAGATTTATAATTAAATTACATGCTTCTTTATAAAGGAGAGAAATATGACAGTGAAGTGCAGACGTTACCATAGTAGTGTTATCTCATAATTCATTGGTCATCCAGCAGATGTGAGGTTATACATACAGGATTATAAGAATCTCATGTAAGAGCTTTAGCCATGAGACCTATTAACTTATTTATGAAAAAAACCCTCCAACAACCCACAACCCCCCTCCATTTTATAATTTTATGGACAGTTTTTCAGTAAGCATCCTCAATTCTTCAGCTTGCAATTTCTCACAGACCAGAGGATAGGTAGATTTTTATGGCAAGATTCAAATGTTTAAGCGACCTCAAATGTTTTCAGCTCAGATGTTTCTGTGAATGATGTGGGCAGTTTTCATCTGAACAGGAGGAGGACATTATGTAATGCAAAAGCGTATTTTCTAACATGTGGTTTGTTTTATATGTTTCAGGAGGTGATGATGATAATTCGTTCATTAAAAGTTTTCAGTCTTCCTTTTTGAAGTGTTTAATTGCTTTGCTGTTCGTTTGCATAATAGAGGAATCTTTAGAGAAAAGGATTGGGTATTGAGATGAAGAGCAACAGGCCTAATCATATTTAAATAGAGCTAACGTATACTGTCTTACTGAGAGCACAAACTAGAATTCGTATCAGTTGATAATTAGTTCTATGTCTGACAAAATATCTTTTTGATTGCAGGCAGTTGAAATTGCCAGGTGCTGATTTCCTAAATTCATTTTTAGAACTGTGAATTTATTAGTTTAATATTTACCCCTTCATTTTGGATATTATTCTCCTGACCCAGCCCCCAGAAGAGCTAAAGAGTGGAGGGAGTGAACAGGAAAAAAAACGTTTGAAATTAAAAAAAATAAAAAAGTCAAGAAAGACAGGAAAAAAGCCCTCAGTGGGTAGGACTATGAGAGTTACTTGGTAGTATCAATCTATTCCTTGATTAGCTAGTGAGTATTTTGTTAACTTACTTGGATTTGTAGGAGAAAACTGTTTTTCTAGCTATTGAATGGTACAAGAAGTGGGGGCATGGTCAAGAAAAATCTCTGCAGAGGCTGAAGAAGCTATTGGGATGAGGAGCTGCCTAACGCTGGGCAACAAGGAAACGTATGAATAAGTTTTGATCTTTAAGTGGTTTTTAATATATGACTGAAACCATAGTTGACTGAAAAAAACAGAGATTGATGAAGAGCATTTTTAAGACCACCAGTGTTGTGTATGCTGTGGGGAGTTCTGAAAAGAATTGTCTGGATTCAAATGCTTTGGCTTGTAGTAATCAAAACACAAGAACAGATATTCTACCTTTGTATAAGCGATGGGATGATAATTCAAGTCAACAGAAACCTGAATTTCCCAAGTAGTGTAAAAAATTTTTCTTCCAAGTTTCTGTGGTAAAAAGGGATCTGATTTCTGGCATACCGGGAGCTGTCCAGCACAAGGGCCCTTTCCCGAGCCGTCCATGGTAGGAAACCCAAGGCATTGCTTTTTCCAAGTAAACCAGGGAAGCTTTACTCTTCTTCAGCATGTTTTTTTTTGCCTGTGGTTCAAACAACAAAAGGCTAGTTAAATATTCTTGGACAAATAAAAGCTTTTTTTCCTGAAATTTGTCACCTAAAGCTGATTAGAAATTGTTGGTTAGGTTTGTTCAAATTAATTCCATGTCTCTTAGGACTTAAAAGTAGTCTCAGACTTCTCATGTTGTGGAAACTTATTTTTATGTGAATAATATTTGTACATTTAAAAGTTAGCCAGATGAGAGGCCATAGAGGTTGCATCCAAGACCATATATGGCACTCCTTTAGTTGAACTCTTTTGTGTTGCTCCATGTATGAAATTTAATGGGAAGTATTTAAAAAAAAAAAAAAAAAAAGTCTTTTTTCCAACCCTTTTGTAGACTGCTGTAAACTTCACTTTTAAAAATGACAATTTGTTTTAGAAAGAATTCCTTCTACAAATAGCATTTCTTCCTTCATGTAGAGGTGGAACTAAAGGCCAAATTATGTGAACTTGTCATTAATCTGTCAATAATTTAAAAACTTGGATAACTTATTTCAAGAGATCACTAAAGAACTGCAACTAAGTGGTAGCAAGATAGGAATAGTCAGAATCATTTGTTTCTTTCTCATGCTTTTTCATTGTTCTGAACACACTATTATGTTTTTCTTCTTTTTTTTTATGTCATAGCATTGCACCCATTACCTTCAGAAATTTTTCCCAATGGGTTGAAGTGATAGCGGATAAATGGGAGTCAACTTCTGTGTAGAACAGCATTTAGGAGGCATCATAATATGCATTTTGCCAATGGTTTGCATAATTATTACATGTAAGGCAGATGAGCAATTAAACTTGGGGATTCCTAGGTTGCAATTTCTTAAAAATCCTACAGTAATGATTATAGAGCATGGCCTGACACATTTTTGGTATCTCTATCAAAAGGCAGTTTGATAGAGTGGATGAATTATGTCTCTGGTATATTAAAAAGCTAGATTCTATTTACAGTTTTGCCTGCAGAGACTTTGATGATCTTTGTAACATTATTTGTAAAGTGGATGAATAAAATCTGTGTGCAGTTTAGTAGCGTTACCCAAGGGTTAATGATAAACATACTGAACTACATAAAGGTGTTACCATACATTAGCAGGAAAGAAACGATCTCTGCCTCCTGACCCTGAGGCTTTCTGG